ATTATAAATCATGCAGCTATAAAGACACATGTACACGTATGTTTATTGCGGCACTATTCACAATAGCAAAGACTTGGAATCAACCCAGATGTCCATCAGTGGCAGACTGGATTAAGAAAATGTGGCACATATACACCATGGAACACTATGCAGCCATAAAAAAGGATGAGTTTGTGTCCTTTGTAGGGACATGGATGCAGCTGGAAACCATCATTCTTAGCAAACTATCACAAGAACAGAAAACCAAACACCGCATGTTCTCACTCATAGGTGGGAACTGAACAATGAGATCACTTGGACTTGGGAAGGATAACATCACACACCAGGGTCTATCATGGGGAGGGGAGAGGGGGGAGGGATTGCACTGGGAGTTATACCTGATGTAAATGACGAGTTGATGGGTGCTGACAAGTTGATGGGTGCAGCACACCAACATGGCACAAGTATACATATGTAACAAACCTGCACGTTATGCACATGTACCCTAGAACTTAAAGTATAATAATTAAAAAAAAAAAAAAAAAAACACACACAATAGTCTTCTAAAGACATTTAAGTACACACACACAAGATAAAGATAGTTTAAAAAAAAAAAAAAAGGTCTGGTCTTTTTACCCAAATATTTGCCCATTCTAATGCTCTTCCTTCCTGTTAATCTGGGGATCTATCTGGTATCATTTACCCAAGTCTTTTAAAAAAACATCTTTAGCATTTGTTACAGCACAGGTCTTCTGGAGACAAATTCCCTTGGTTTTCTCTATGTGAAAATGTCCTTATTTTGCCTTCATTTTGAGAGATATTTCATTAATTTTCCCCTTTACCTTTTCTAAAAACTCAAAGTCTAGGAAGAGGATAGAACTATGAAATAGGACAAATCAAATCAGAGACATAATGCTTAGATACAACGGATATTTCAAAGAAATGTCAGTTCACTAAAATTACAGAATATTTTATAAGACTTAATGTCAGTTCACTAAAATTACAGAATATTTTATAAGACATACTGCTCAGATACAACAGATATTTCAAAGAAATGTCAGTTCACTAAAATTACAGAATATTTTATAAGAGTTTCGGATACTCTTAGCAACTGAAAGATGTAAACTAGAAGAAAAAAAAGGTTGAAATGAGAAAAGAAAAAGGACAGCAGTTATAGGCTCTTCACACTAAGAAACAGAATTTTTTTTAAATCTTAATATGCTTGGCATTGACAACAGCATAAAAGCAGAATAATTCTTCTCCTTCCTCTAACCAGGAACTTCTTTACTATTGACAAATATAGATTCTTCCCCATCATTCCCTTCTATAGTACCTAAGATTCTCACATTTCCAAGCATATCTAAGCTCCCTACAGAAAGATATGTACCCAAAATAGCACAGAATGAAATAAGACTTTAAACTACACATCTCCTTCAAATGAACAAAGAGAGTAAAATTAAAACAAAATTCTTTTTCTTACATTAGAATTCCTTTAAGATCAAAGAATACCAAGCACCCGTTCCACAGTAAATGATCTATTGATTTATCTAATGAACAGGAAAGAAAAACATGACAAATTACATGTAATGGTAAGGCAAAAAAAAAAACATTTAGGGTAAGAATTTTAATCTAATTTTTCATTAAGTTCATTATACTAGCTGTGTGGGATTACCTACTGGCAATGATCTATTCCTGACTCCTGTGCTCTTCTTCTGTATAGTAAAGGATGGACGCCTGAAACCTATATCACTCAAACTATTTTGCCACCAGAGCTCTGGATATAATTTAGATTCTGCCAATAAGATGCACTTGCTTCAGATGTGGAAAGCAGAAGAGAGACAAGGTCCATTTTTCCTCTGACCATGGTAGCAGCTGATGTGTAGGCTTTGGCAGACATGAATTTTTGAAGTACTAGACTCCACATTCCAATGCCAATAAGCAGCTTTGGGACTTTGGGGTATATGTGATATTGTGAATGACTACCTGCAGCCTCTATTAGTATAAACAACTAATAAAGTTGCCTACTATATTAGGTGAAAAAAGTTGTTGGAGAGGCCAAGGGAAGCACACAGTAGATTATTACAGAATTTCAGAATGTCAGAGTTTGAGCTCACCTGGACTAGCCTTCATTTTATGTATGAAAACAGTTCCATAATGGTTAAAAACCCACGTTTCTTGTTATCCTTTTAATGTACTTTAGAACATAACACATACTGCTTCCAATTAGTCATGAAATAATCAGTTTAAGATGTTTCCATTAGCATGTAAACATGTAAACCTGGTGAAGTATTTCCCATCCAAAAATAAAACTCTTCTCTGACTCCTGTAGCTACTCCATTTCTCTATTCCCATGTATAGGGATCACCCTGAAATAATTTTCTTCACTTCCTCTATTATTACTTCCCTGAATCCACTTTAGTTGACTTTTGCCATTACCACTCCAATGAAAGAACTTTCACGAAGATCACTAACAAGTTCTCATGGTCAATTCCAAGGTAATTCCTCACTCTTTATCTTAATCATCATCTCTTAGCTCTCTTGGTGCTTGTAATTAACTGTTACATCCCCTTCTTTAATAACTTTCTTTGCTTGAATTTTGGGACACCACTATTCTACATTTTCTCCTATTTTACTGGCCAGTTACTCTTCTTCCTTTTCAAGTACTGGTTCCTCTTTCTCTTTCAGCCTGTAATGTTGGAGATGGCCCAGAACTTGGTACCTCACTCTGTTTTCTTTCCTCTGTGTTTCTCTCTAGGTAGTAGCACCACAAATTAAACTTCCAGTTTCAACCTCTCTCCTAAACTCCAGACCCAGATATTTGATTGTCCACTTGACTTCTCCACTTGAATGCCTAATAGCCATATCAAACTTAACACATCTAAAATTCTTGACTTCCACCTCTAACTACTCCTTCCCCAGGACTGGTCTCAGTAAATGGTATCACCAATCATCCAATACCTAAGCATAGGATTTATCATTATATCAACAATTTCTATCAGCTTTACTTTCAAAATATATTTGGCATCCAAGTACTTTCTGCCACCTTCATGACTACCACACTAGTATGGACCACAAACAATCTCTCTCATCTAGCTCACTAAAATGGCTTCTTAACTTGTCTCCCTACTTCCAGTCATACTCCCCATCACGGTCCATGTTATGGAGTAACTACTAATTTTTTTAAATATAAATCATATCAAGTCACTCCCATACTCAAACCTTTCAATGGCATCCCCTCAAACCCAGGATGAAATCCAAAGTTCTCAACAAAGCCTATGAAGTTTTCTTTGAGCTTACATCTGCTGCCTCTCCAATCTCATCTACCACTCTCCCCTCAGCCCCTGCATTCCAGTTGTACTCAGCTTCTTCATGTTCCTTAAATATACAAACTGTTCCTTCCTGAGGGTCTTTACATTTGCTGTTTCCTCTGTCTAGAAGCTCTTTCTCCATATTTTCCCCTAAATCTATTTTTTTTCTTTTTTAGACGGAGTCTCACTCTGTCGCCCAGGCTAGACTGTGTGATCTCGGCTCACTGCAAGCTCCACCTCCCAGGTTCACACCATTCTCCTGCCTCAGCCTCCTGAGTAGCTGGGACTACAGGCACCCGCCACCATGCCTGGCTAATTTTTTGTACTTTTTAGTAGAGATGGGGTTTCACCATGTTAACCAGGATGGTCTCGATCTCCTGACCTCGTGATCCACCCACCTCAGCCTCCCAAAGTGCTGGGATTACAGGCATGAGCCACGGCGCCTGACCCCCCTAAATCTTTACATTGTTATTTCAGTGATTTTTCTGCCTATGGCAAAAGCAATGTTCTCACCAAACCCTTGTCTTCTTCTTGAGCACACAGAAGATACATGATCCCACTCTCTCTTACAGTAGGCTGGGCAAAGTGACAGAGTTTTAGCCCACTAAACGTTGGCTAAAAGCCAGGCCTGATTCTTAAAACATTTTGCACAATACACCAAACTCTTTCTTCCCTAATATCCCAAGCAAGAAGCAAAGAATTTCAAGTTGTTGGGGCTACACAATAGAAGGAACCTGGATCCCTCACTCCCTGCTTGGAGAAAAGCAATCCTAGAAAGTGAAGTCAAATTTTGTGCAAGTGAAAAAATTTTATTCCATTAAGCTACTGAGATTTTGGGGCTGTTAAAACAGCTAGCATTAATTACCTCGACGATGTTGTCTTAAAGTGGAACTTCTTCAGAGAAGCCTTCCCTGACCACTCAGTCTAGTCACTCATTTCTCGATTCAACTTCTAACCTCCTATGCTGCTTTGTGTTTCTTTAGAGAACGCAGCTCTAATTTTTAGTGTATTTATTTACTTGCTTATTGTTTAGCTCTGCACTAGAGTGTAAGATCCATTAAGGTAGGGACTATATTATACCCATTACTTTATTTCAGGTTCAAGAACAGTCCTTGGTTCATTATTGGGAACTTGCAGATGCCAGTTGCTGGTCTGAGTTCTACCAACAAATATTTGATGAATGATGGAATGACTTAATGGTGTTTTGTGGCAAACAGCATTGAGATGGAACACACACTTAACAGATTCTAAGTAAGACCTGTCATTAACCCAGAGTAGGACATGTCTAAGTTCAGAAATGCCCTACATGGATATGTCTTCATTTCCAAACTGCCCCATGTCTCAACATTCTCTTTTTGAAAAGCTCTAAGAAGAGAGGAGATAAGCAGTATTATTTATTATACCATTGTGCCAAAGACATTTGATATAGATATCCATGCATAGGAACTCCCGGCGTGAAAGTAAATTTGAAGATGAGAGCAAGAAATAGCATGATGCCTGATCAGGGAACTACTAATACTATAAAACCTAAACTAGTGCTATAAAACCTGGGAGGAGGACTTCAGTGGCAATGACAGCTGCATCAGAAGCAGCAGGAGACAGTGAGAAGTGTCTAAAGTTTAAGCTTACCAAATTTTCTAGGGAACAGAGCAAGCTGGGAGAAGCCTTCCAACAAATATGCCAACTATTGTTCAAAGACAAGCAGAAACAAACCTGAAGAATACGGGTTTTCTGTTGATTATTTGTCATTCTTCTTGACTTGGTCCTTTCCACTTCATGTCTATGAACCCATCCTCGAAGTTCATGATTTAACCTATAAAATATAGTTTAATTGATTAAACATAGAAATTAACTAAACACAGAAATGAATGTTTCACCCTGTGGTTGGAAATGAATCTAATCATTTGTAGGTTCTAAAGTGCATTCCAAGTGCCTGATGACTCAATATTGCTTTTTGATTTGAAAAAGTTGACACCTAATGTTGTTTTTAATAAGACACGCATTTTCACATGGTAAACCTGTCAACCACGCATTCAAAATTCAAAGAAAACTACAGCTAAATACCTCCCAAATATAAACACTGGATGTTAAGGTTTTTCAACCAAAAAAAGTATTTCCTTGCCGGGCACGGTGGCTCACACCTGTAATTCTAGCACTTTGGGAGGCTGGGTGGGAAGACTGCTTGAGTCCAGGAGTTTGAGATTAGCCTGGGCAACACAGTGAGACCCTGTCTCTACAGAAAATTTTTTTTAAAAATTAGCTGGGCGTGGTGGCATGTCCCTGTAGTCTCAGCTACTCAGGAGGCAGAGGCAGGAGGATCACTTGAGCCTGGGAGTTTGGGAAAGCAGTGAGCTATGATCAAGCCACTGCACACCAGCCTGAGCAACAGAGCGAGACCCTGTCTAAAAACAAAATAAAAGTCATAGGACCCCTAACAACAAATAAATGTATTAAAACCTCTTGAAAATCCTGTTTTTTTGGGAGAAGAAAAAGAATGAACTCAATTGCTGGGGGTAAAAAAAAATGCAAATTTTTCAACACAGGAAATAAAAGTGTGGCTCACATATAACTTCCTTTATTTTGCTTACTTTTTACAGCAGCTGTGAAGATGTTAAACTATGTTTATTTAACTGTAGTTGATTACTGCCTATCACAAAAAACCTGAGGTAGCTTTTGAGGTTTTAAGGATAAGGTCCAAAATCACAGGAAAAAAAATTAAGGGAAAAGCTGATAAAGAAGTGTGTACTAACGGTAAAGTATCTCCAGAATCACATATCCACAAATTATTATCTTCCTAATTAGAAGAAAAAGGTACTTTCTGCTATGAATGTTACCAACTATAAGCCTAACACCCTGAAATTTTAATATTAATTTCATTCTGTAGTTTTCAAAGAAGACATACTTAAGTAAACAACCATCATATAAAATAGACCCATCACCGTATCTATCAGGTTGGTGGAGAAACTGGACGACTAATATGCCTACAGTTATCCAACAAACAATCCAGAGATTCTCTCAGTCACTTAGTGAACCTGACCAATTACTTGCCTAGGTTCCAAAGCTAAACATGGGAACCAACTCAGATGTTCTGAGTTGTTCTGCAATAATCTACAACACTCACCTGAGAGACTCTGTTGTGTTAATTAGGGGCTGACAAGGAGGTGGAGGAATATAAAGCAATGGTTCTTCAGTTAGCACCATCAGGGCTTTGTCATTTGAAACAGAATGATCATATCTGAAACATGGATGCACAAAGTTTGTTTCCTTATATCTTAAATTCCTAAGAAGTTTGCTATGAGAAAATCATCATTAGTGTTAACTTTTCATGGAAATATAGTAAACAGAATATACTGCAAGATAAAGTATAAAATATAAAAACTTATTTTACATGAAATGTCATTTTCTGATTTTCTACAGAGACAGGATGGTAATTCACATTTGTCTAGTCACCATTTATTAAGCAATTAATTTGGAATACGGGATACAATAACACATGGTTCATCATGTCTTCAACAAGCTTAAGACATGCACAATGCTGCTGGTACAGAGGTGGTAACACAGTAATGGGGTAATTGAGGGGAAAATCAACCGGTATTATGTGACCAGACTAAAGTTTTGGGGTTATTCACAGTTCTACGATAATAAAACTGGATAGTACCCAAAAAACAGGTAGAAGTGTGTGTGTGTGTGTGTGTGTGTGTGTGTGTGTGTTAGGGATAGGGTAAGACATAAAATGCTTGGCAGAAGAAAAGTGAAAGAGTTGAAAAGCCGAATATATACTATGGGATCATGGAAGAATCTGAACCACTAGTAAAACAACAGGGTGACTGACATTAACTAGTTACTCTATTTGCTTCAAAAATACATAGTTTGCTAGCCATCACACTGATGTAGATCATGTGAATTCATATCCAAGGTGTGATGTAGGAAGCAAAACTGGAGTTGAAAGTTAGAATTTGAGATTTACTGCTATTTGTGCTCTTCAGTCTGCAATCTTAATCTCTCTCACTAAGAAAACTTGCACCTCTCCTGAATTTCTTTATATAGGATGATCTGGATTTAGAAAACTAGATATGCTAATATCTCAAAAGAAAACATGTAAACATATAAAACTGAATATAGTGAGATTCACACTTTTCATTTATTCATTCAACAAAAAATTGCTGAATACCAACTGTGTGCCAGGTATTGTGCTAGGTGCTGAGAATCCAGTAGGGAATAAGAGAATCAAACTTTCTGTCCCCAAAGACCTTAATGGGGAAGATGGACCAAATAGAAGAAAATAAATGGATAAAATAAATCCAAACCCTGGTAAGTGCTATGAGAGAAACAAGCAAATGGTTGAAATGGAAAAGCAATGGTAGTATATACTTTAGATAAAATGGTCCGAGAAGGAGATGGTAGTTACATCAAGGCCTAAATGATGAGAAGAAGCCGCCTCTATAGAAACTGGGGTAAGAGCGTTCTAGGCGTAAAAGAGGCAGATGGGGGAAAGGTGGGCTCAAAGAACTTTAAAAAGACCACTGGCTGAAGAGTTGCAAGCAAGCGGGGAGGTAGAGGGGGAACAGGATGAGGTTGGAAAGACAGAGACCAGGTCATAATAAGGAATTACTAAATGTAATAAGAAGTCACAAAAATGTTTCAAATAAAGAAGTGATACATTTCAATTTACATTTATACCTTGCCATGGTACCAAAAATGGACTCAATGGATGCAAAAGGGAAAGCTAAGACACCAATTCGGAAAGAGCTATGGCAATCCTGGCAAGAACTGATAATGGCATGGACTAGGTTTGCGGCAGCAGAGACGGAGAGGGGTGGACCAATTCAAGACAATTTTTGGGAAGAATATCAACAACACTTGTTGAAAGACAGGAATCAGGATTTCTGGCTTAAGCAATGGAAAGAAAAAACATAGCTGGGGAAAATTGGTTGGAAGTAAAAGAGGGAGAGGAACTGAGTTCCACAGTGCACGTGTTAAGTTTGAAATGTTAAAACAGAGATGTCAAACAGACTATTGGATATGTGAGTTTGGAGACTCAGAAAAGAAGTCTGGACTGAAAATATAAATTTGAGAGTCATCAGGATATACGGATATGGAGTGTGCATGAAATTATGGATGAGTCGCCTAGGCAGAAAGAAAATTTTAAAAGTTCACAGTTCCAAACCTCGAGATTTGGGTAAAAAAGGAGCCCACAAAGATTACTGTGAAGGAGTAGCCAATAAAAAAAGGAAACTAAAAAAACGTAGCAACACAAAAGGAAAGTCTTTCAAGGAGCAAAAGACCCACATAGCCAAATGCTGAGGAAAGGGCAAGTAAGATGGCAGAAAGCACTGGCCCCTTAACAGAAATAATTTTGGCAAAGTGGAAGGTTAACTTCAAGTTAAAAGTTAGAGATAGCTATTTATGCCCCATAAGAGAGAAAAGAAACAACAGCAGAGGATATATAGAACATTCTTCCCTGCAACTTGCACCAGGAATAGTCTCAATGTCCTCTCTTGCGGCTGTAAGGGTTAAGCAGGTTTAAGTTGTTTGGAATAAAACAGACATGTTGGTGCACAGGTAATGACTGCAAACAGAAAAGGATCAGCCTAAAATGAAGCACTGAGTGAGAAGGAAAAAAAAAATCTGCCTTGTGTTTGATAAATCTGAATGCCTGTAAGAAAAGGCTGCTTAGCACCTCTTCTTATAAATCTATGACATACGCATTATTTTAAAAATCATGCCTGCATACTTAGAAAAATACAAACACTGTAGTCCATGAGAAAAGTCCAAAACTGCCTTTGAAAATGTATTTCTGATCTGAACTCTAGTAACAATTTCTGCACATCTGTGCTAACTGGCTTTGTTCTATCAGCCAAAAATATTCTTCAGAAAAGAAAAAAAAAAAAAAAGTCTGATAGGGGAAATACCAGGACAAGGATTGGGTGGAGTTAAAGGAGAGAGAAAATCAGCCAACATGCAATCTGGAGACAATTAGACCAACATTACATTAGCCCAGAAACAGTCAGAGTTCGAGTCTGCTTGCAAACATTTTATGCCAAGAGAAAAAAAATCAGCAAATAAATCACTGAAGTAAAGGACAGTGCTAGGGAGCTAGAGTTAATGAGAATTCTTGGAGTAAAGATCAGTTCTGGGTGACATCTTATATATATAGGGTGACCATCCTTTCCCATTTATCCAAGACAGCAGTACTGATGTTCTAATGTAATTATTACTAGCAGTACCTTTCCTTCTTAAAAGTGTCCCAGTTTGACAGAACATTATATGGTCATACTATTTATATGCCACACATTTCTATGACTGAAAAAATATATGCAGTTAATTACTAAATGATATGCTAATACAATATTATAAACTATGGGATTAGAATCTACTTTTTTTATTGGAACCATATCTCATAGCTCTCCTTAGAAAAATAAACATAAAGTAAGCTGCATTAAAAAATGTATCGGTATCATGGCTGAAAATAGATAAAACATCTAAAATTCAGTTCAGAACACAGAACAAAGTAATATTAGGTGCTTTCAAATGTTTCACAAACTTTTTTTGGTATCTTTTATTCAGTATTTATACTGATAAAAGCAAGAACATCAAATTAATGGACTGGCATTTTTTTAAATCTCTCAAGTTGCTGAATAATATTTCAAGAGACTTGCATGTAATCAAGAATCCATAATCTTTCCTGGGTTGTTTTTTTTTCCCAAGACCAGTAACCCAGATTATTCACTCGATGGTGACTTTGGAGTAGGGAGAGAGAAAACAGTTTGCATTCCATGTACTACTTTGAAAGCTGATAAATTTCAGCCAGAAAGTCATTCAGACTTCTAGGCTAAACTAGTATGATCAGACTACCATGCTTTCTGGGAGCCACCATGTTATCTTATGCTAATGTGAACAAAAAAGTGAAGGCTTCTATTTGCTGTAGTTAGTGCAGAAGAAATAATATTCTTGTAAAGCTTATCTGAACTGTAATTTCAAGAATTCAATCCATAACTTGTTCTATTCTTTAGCAAGAAGTCATCTCGACTCTTGTAAATCCAAAGGCTATTAGGTTTAAATTTAATTTTTGATGGATCTTATGTGGACACTAACAGAATTCAAAATTATAGAACATGTAGGGCAAACCTGGACAAATTATTTAGTAAAATTAAAGATACTATTAAACTCTACCAATACTCAAGGGCACTGTTAAGAGATCATCAAGGTCAATATTTAAGAAGTACGATGAATTTTGGCATGTAAAAACACAGGAAATGTTATGTTTTCCAACATTATGACATCTACCACTGCTATGCTGCATTGCAGCTACTGCCATAAAATCCTTTGGGTCCTCCACTGACTTAGCATACTGCATTCCACAAAAATAACAGTTTTTTCAGGAAGGCTAAGTGGAGACAAGCCTGCAGGATTGTGGTGATCATCTTTCAACAGTATGGATGTAACAGTAAAAATCAGAAAGAATGATTGCCCTATAAATCCTTAAAGAGATAAAAGTAAACAAATGTGTAATAATTTTCAAGCATTATATTTTGCAAGGGTTACCATACTGTGACCTCTCTTTGCCTTGTTAGTTAGTAAAGGAGCTGGCCCCATTTGGCTCTAATACAAATTCTAAATAACACAGGGAAATGTTTATCAAAAAGTATACAACTATAAAAATGTCCACTATACCTTCTTCTAGTTAACCTAATATGGAAATTCCATTTTTATACAATTAAAGCCTTTTGCTATTGACAAGCAATATGGAAATTTATCAAGTCATTATTAAATTGCAACAAGGGAGGGATTCAACAAAGATCACAATAAATGAGTATAAATGATTTTACCTAATGACTGCAAATAGGTTCAATCATATTATTCCACCATATCATATCCATCCACAGATGAGACAGTAACAAATATTAGATGTGTTATATGTATAAACACATGATAGATAAAATAACTATTAAAGACATTGTATATAATATGTATATATTTCTATATGTATATTAATGCATACAAACTGAGATTTTAACATTACATCTCTATAGGAATTTTAAAACTACAAAAGGTTTCAAAGTAAATTTAGTTTTAGAATATTAAAAGTAAAATTTATTAATGGTTTCAGTAATTTATGTGTTCTGCTACTCAAAATGATACATGAACAATTTAGATGCAATGTTATACTACAGATAATTCTCGTTTCAGCTTCATTAAATCACTTAGGCCGAAAGATAGATGCATGCCATCTAACCTGTAGCTGTTTTTCTGGATGACACCATCTGATGTGTCCTGTGCCTCTTTAGCAGAAAATCCTAGAAGGTGCCTCCTCTGATTTGCAGGGCTCACACTAGGGTTCATTCTCCTGGAATCCTGTTCCAGCATGCTGAAAATTAAAAAACAGGAAATAATAGCTGAAATAAAAATACATCACACATATGCCTGCTACATGCAGCTCTGAAACAAACCACCATTCCTTTGTAGATCCATGCATGTAACAAAAATGCTAGGCATAGAAGCAAGTACAAATAGTGTACTGATGTGTTCAAATCTGTAGCATGGTAACCTGCACATAACAAAAACAATTTTTGTAAGTATAAAAGTACCTTATTTATAAACTGTTTAAACAATAGTGTTCTATATGCTTTAAAAACTCTATAATTACATGCATATATGAAGTAGAAATAAATATAACACACCTAAAAACAAATTTTAAACTCAGATAATAACTGAAGTAAAAAGGCCTTCTGGATGGTGCAAACTGGTGTTTTCAATGAGGGAATACTTCAAATGAAGTAGGAATTATTCACTTTCTCAATAGTCAAATTCATTATCAGCCTTTCACAATTCCAGAAGGCAGGGTATCAATTAAGCTAAGAAAAAATTATTTTTAAAATACTTCTATTTGTATTTATATGTAAAAACTTCTATTCTTTCTCCCTACCCTCCCTAATATATTCATTCATCAATGTATATCCTCTTCAGAGGCATAAGGATTTGGGGAAAACAACAAAATATATACATACAAGCAAATACTCCCTACTTACTTAACACTTTTTTTTTTTTCCACAGGGTCTCACTCTGTCACCCAGGCTGGAGTACAATGCGCAATCACAGCTCACTGAAGCCTTGACCTCCCAGACTCAAGCAATCCTCCCACCTCAGCCCCTCTGAGTAGCTGAGACTACAGGCATGTGGCACCACACCTGGCTAATTCTTTTTGTTGTTTAATTTTAGTAGAAATGAGATCTCGCTATGTTGCCCAGGTTAGTCTCAAACTCCTGAGCTCAAGCTATCCTCCCGCCTTGGCCTCCCAAAGTGCTGGGATTACAGACGTAAGACACTGCGCCCAGCCTTAATTAACACTTTCAACTTATTAATAGTGCTTAGGAACTTGACTCATCAGTAAGATTGTGTGTGTTCACACTTTGTTTTATGATGCAACCCACATAATTTACACTACTCATAATCTTAAAATTCAACACAAAGGGAATCTCCCTAGAGAAGCACAAAAGATTGTATTTGGAGGGATAAAATGCAAGAGGAAAGTAAGGCTAATGAAAAAGGGTATAGTTAAGGAGCCTGTGGTTCTAAAGGAAAAGCCGTTCTTTGAGATGTAGTAGTTTGCCTCCAAATTTGGGGAAATCAGTGTTGGGGGAAAACAGGGAACAGACATGTCTCTCTAGAATCTTTTTCTGATCCCTTAATATATTTTCCATTCTCCTCGATTCTTCACCCCCAGAAATCACTGCTACCCAGTGATTCTCATATGGTATGCTGTAGCACCTGGGCATACTGCAAACTCTTCAAAGGTATACCACCAATTAAAGCCATTGTGTAAAATTTAATTTTGCTACAACTGAGGCTATATTTCATTACAGTTGTATCTTTCAAACTAAATGTTTACCAAACCTTGCCACAAATGAGGTAAGAGGCCTAGTGGAATGTCTAACTAAACTTAAGAAAACTCACCCTGATGAGTATTTAAGAAAACATGAGAGAAGCAGAAAACAATAGCAATTTGGGAGGGAAGTCAAACGAAGAGTTGATGATAACTAAGAAATTTTATTTCTTCTTTTGGAAACTAACTTTGAAAAAAAGTGTTTACTTTTTCTTTCAAGCATGGTGCCAAAAATTCTACTTATGAAAGTAAGCTATGAATAAAATCAAAGTTAAGAACTTTCCCCTAAGTTAGAGAATCTCAATTCAACCCCTACTGACCCTGCTATTGTATTAGTGAAATATCCACATACTAATGTTCCTGTTTGGTGGAACACTTACTCCCTGATCCCTCCAGTAACTCTACCACCCTAATTATTAAGAGTTTCCCCTTGTTTTAACTAGAAATGTGCTTCCTTTTTAAAACACAAAAAAACAAACTTCTACCTTTTGATACTAGTTCTGGATTCAGTGACTATCCAGAACAGTCTAAGTAAGCCTTCTTCTAAGGTCCAAAGACATCTAACATCCCCCTTACCCCAGGCTTTCTTTTTCAAGGTTATAGTTTCTTGATTATTTCACCTGCCCCTCTTTATAGCATAGTCTGAAGTTCCTTTAGCATATTTGGTCACTCTCCTATCAATATGCTTCTCAGAGGTGATGTCCAGAATTGGCCACAGTACTTCTTAGGTAGCATGACCACTACGGAATGGAAAAGGATGATTCCTTCACTTGTTCTAGACACTGTTGTTCTACTGATGCAGTCTAACATCGCATAGGCTTTTCTGGCAGTTATATTACACTCTATTTATATTGAGCCCAGTGTAATTAAAACCCTAAGTCCTTTCACACAAACCGATTTTGAACCATTACTTTCGCTTCTTCCTATCCCACCTCAACTCTGAATTGATGTAACTGAGTTTTAGGATCCAGCTGAATAATTTATATCAATTCCTTTAAAAATATTTGCCTACTAATCAATCAAGAACTTTTAGGCTCCTCGTTAGCAAAAGAAATTCTTCCAAGAAAGTATCAGCATGCTACCAATATCCTGTACTGAGTTGTTATTAAAATAAAAAGCTCCTTCTGTAAAATCTGTAAAAATGTAGGTTTATCTACTTATGAATTAACTGAAATATCACCTAGATCAAAATTTCCCATCTTGACCATAAAGATATCACAAGAATGTTAAATGTTCTTCTAAGATGCAAATACAGTATATTTTAACAGTAGCTACCACTTTTAAGTACCTACTATGTACTAAGGAATGAAGGCTCAAAGGAAGTTGAGGCTCAAAGAGTTTAAACAGTTTGCCCAAAGTTATGCTCTAAATAATAAAGTCAGGATTTGGATTCAGGATTGGAATTCCATCACTGCACTGACCACATTTCCCAGGAATGAATGATACATCCATTCATTTATTCATGTATGTAGTAAATACCTATTACGTTCTAAGAACTATATTTGGTGCAAATGACTCAAAGATGAAAGGTAAAAAAAAAAATCAGAACACAGCAAGTCTTCAAATAATGCTGGTTCATGCAATGTCATTTTGTGATAACACTGATGACAAGAAAAAAGTCAATTCCCAGCCAAGGTCACTGTCTGTGTGGAGTTTGCATACTCTCCCCAAGTCTGCATGATTTTTCCTGTGGGTACTCCAGTTTCCTCCCACATCTCAAAGATGTGCATGTTAACTGGCACGTCTAAATGGCCCCAGTCTGAATGAGTGTGGGGACCATGTGTGAGTGCACCCTTCAAAGGGATGGCACACTGTCTGGGATTAATTCCTTACTTGTGTGTCGAGCTGCCAGGATAGGCTCCAGCCATCTACCACCCTGAACTGCAATAAACACATTGGAAAATGACCACAAATCATTGTAAAATAAAAATGTGTACAGTATACAATAATCATACAAATGCATGACAATAAATGATGAATGAAAGCTCTCAGCAAGCCTGCCATATTTGTGACTGTTTTTGAACTGTGTGGTGGGAGGTGCTCCTTTCACTTTGCAACATTTATCCCTTGATTTAAACCACCACTACTATAACCATGTCACTTCACTGTTTTACCAAAAACTGGATTAATAATTATATTGTTTTTCTTAATTTTTTTATTTCCACAGGTTTTTGGGGAACAGGTGGCATTTGGTTAGATGAATAAGTTGTTTAGTTGTGATCTGTGAGATTTTGGTGTACCTATATCCCAAGTTTAGCTCCCACTTATGAGAGAGAACATAACAATGTTTGGTTTTCCATTCCTGAGTTAGTTAACTTAGAATAGTCTCCAATCCCATCCAGGTTGCTGTGAATGCTATTAATTCATTCCTTTTTATGACTGAGAGGTATTCCATCATATACATATACCACAGTTTCTTTATCCACTCGTTGACTGATGGGCATTTGGGTTGGTTCCACATTTTTGCATTGCAAATTTTGCTGCTATAAACATGCATAAGCAAATATCTTTTTTGTATAATGACTTCTTTTCTTCTGGGTAGATACCCCATAGTGGAACTGCTGGATCAAATGATAGTTCTACTTTTAGTTCTTTAAGGAATCTCCACACTGTTTTCCACAGTGGTTGTACTAGTCTAGGTGACTTTACCAATGTTTGAGAACCATTATTGTAAACTAACCCTGTTTTTCACAACATCTTTCCCATCTCAGTTCCCCAAAAGGTACACATTTTTACAATGAATTCAACAGAAGTGGATAGTTTAGAAAGAGGGACTGGGGGAGTTTGGAGGGGCATGAAAGGGTACAAACAAAGTGGCTATTTGTATGACTTATGGATAATTTATAAATTGAATTAATTAATTCAGAACTATTGATACTTTAAAGTTTGTAAACAACTCTTCTACTAATCATTGTTCTTTTAATGATTTTACTAACACTATGAAAACTGGCATTCAAATTCACAATTCAAGGCTGTTAACAGGCAAATGCTTTGAGCTTAACTATCAGTGTAGTCTATCCCATCTGTATCCAGGCTGTCCTATAATCACTTAGCAGCTGTACTTACTGGAAATCAGTTTTAATGTTGATTGGTTTGGCTCATAAGTGGTCGCTATTTTTCCCACTGCCCACTTGGTAATGATTATCACATTGTAAAGACAATATACCCTTAAACATAGCTATTTCAGTTAACTTTTAGCCTTTTTTGAGACAAGGAGCTCAGATGCATTCAATGAGCTTCACAAAAATTATCTTATTTACATTATACAGAGTCAATAAAGTATTTCCAACAAGGGAGTCATGATGAAGCAAAATTTAGGATCCAAATAGTCTGTGGATTTCAATTTTACTATCTCTCCATTGGCTACAATATATTTTGAAGAGGTAATATATTAATAAATTCTGCTAAGAATCTTTTAAAGTTTTTCACTTGTTTGTTTTTGGTTATTATTTTTTGGCCTCCATTTCCTGTAGTTTGTCTTAAAA